AGAAGAATTTGAAATTTTTCTAAGTATGGAAAGTCAACTCTTTTTCTTCAACTTTGACTCCATGTAACTTTCAGCTCAAGTATCCATTTGATTCCATTATTTTTTCCATTGCAAAGCTTGTTACCTCATCTTTCCAAAGCATCAAGAATTTTGCCCTAAGACCCCTTGAGGAGAAAATGCCATTGGACTGAACTTGGTAACTTGGAACTGAAGTTTCACCATAAGTCAGATTTTGAAATCCATGTTTTGGCCTTTAAACATCAAATTAACACGCGTTTGTGATCTAAACATGTTTAATCAAGTTTCCAAAGTGGATTAGAGCATTGAAACGTAAGGATTTGATGAGTTTTGATGCAAATCAGGTCACACTTTCTTCATGATGCAGATCCACACGATTTCCCTCCAATTTGCATCATTCCACACGCTTAAGCATTCCATTTGATTCCCTATAAATAGAGGGTCATCCCCCATTCAACTTCCCAAGCTTAGAGAGCCAAGAACACCCTGCCAAAACTTCACACGAACCCACTTTTGTTGAATTCAGTTTTTGAAATTTAAGCTTCCTTTTCCAAAATTCTTTGCGCATTCATCATCCTTGAACTTCATACAAACTCTCCAGCACTTAAACCAATCAAAACGACCCATAATCCAAGCTATAGAAGTCCAGTTTCAGAGCTTCTTACTTGAACTTCGAAAAGGTAGAATTCTCCACCAATTGGATCCAAATCAAGCACTAATCTGTTCTACTCCTTTGTCTGATTCTAATGCTGCTTACAATTTTTAAATCCATTGAGAATTGAGAGAGAAATCTCAAATTGAAGGTGCTCGCTATTTTTCTGTGTTTTGATTTATATCTCTCTCCAAACTTTACATAAATTTGGCGCGATGGTTGTGTTAGAATCGTCTTGAAGAGACGAGTTCAATGATGCTAGCCAGGGATCCTAATTTTTCCATTTGAAGGATCTCACAAAATCCCCATTGTAGGGTGTCTGGAGGTTGAAGACGATGACATATCTCGTCTCAGCCAATGATAGCGTGTCAAGCGTTTTAATTTCATTGGTTGCCCTTTTTCTGATTACATGTGTGTTTCACTAAGGTCCATATTAAGCACAACGCGCCTGGTCCATTGGATTAGCTTACTAATGCATTTTGACTTTGATCTGATGGTCCACATCTTTTTGGTTTTATTTTATTTTCTAATTTTATATTTTATTTGATTAAATTTTCAAAAATTCATAACTCTTTTTTTATCCAAAAATTATGAAAAATTCACAAAAAATATTTTGAATTATTTCTAATTTCATGAATATTTTTTCACATTTTTATTTTAACATTTGGTATTTTTTATATTTTTTGTATTATTTGCTTTCTTTTAATTACTTAAAAAATACTTTCTAACATTTTTTAATTCTGAAAAAAATCATAAATATTATTTTGCACATTTTTGACTTTCTGGAAATTTTATGGAATTTTATGTAGAGGTTTACTATTTTTGATCCATTTTATGTTTGTTTTAGCAATTTTAAATGGTTTAAAAATAGTTTCTGACTTTTAAAAATTACTAAAATTTTTATAAAAATACTTGGGTCCATTTTTTATTTTTCTATGGCTTAATTTTTACTCTCTTGAATAATTTGAACATAATTGATATTTTCTCCATTATTTCTAGTTTATTTTAACATTTTTTTAATCCTTTAATATATATATTAAATGTTATATCATTTTGTGAATATTTTCTGGCTGTCTTGGGTTGATTTTTTGGTCATGACTTTATTAACATCATTGGATTCATGGTGTTGAGTTTAACTCCACAAAAAAATGGATGAATAATTTTAATAATAGTTGTATTAAATATTAATTCAAATGTGGTTTTTCTTTTTACCCTAAATCCCCTTCATCTCATCCCCTTCTCATTGCACTAAATGTTGTTGGAGCATGATCTCTATATCATGTCTCAAAACAAATGGTGCATAGATTGCTATTTATCGGCCTCAAAATAAGTGCGACTTCTATATAAGTCCACTTACGATTGCTTAACATAGCGCAAGTATGTTAATTTGATCTCTTTGATCCAATAACCTTGAGATTCATTGTGTGGAGGCTTTGGTTCTACCAATTCTCTAATGGATCTACAACACCTTTGGTCAACGCGGATCACTTAAACATCGTTGATCATTAAATGGCACTTGTGAGAATTCCAAATGGATGATATACTTGACAAAAAGCAAATGCAACTTGTTGTGTGGAGGCTTTGGTTCTACCAATCCTCTAATGAGTTCCAAATGCAAGTTTCAAGATGGTCATCCAACTAACCACTAATTATTGACTTGTTTTATTTTATGCTTTTGTTCTTTTATGCTTTATGCACTATTCATTTTTTAGCATTTTTACATTTCATGCCATTTTTATCTTTGCTCATTTGAGCATTTATTTTCTTGTCCTTTTTACTTTGCTCACTTGAGTTTTTCTTTTTCATTTTCCTAAGATACTTAATAACCAACTTAAACCCTAAAAAACTCTTAATGGTACTTGGACTATTTGGTTACTATCCTTGGCATGATGGAGTAGTGGACTATTTCTTGGACTTAGGATTAGAAACCTTGGCCTATCTTGGAGACTTTGTGATTTTATCTGATTATTTTGTCTGGAGTTCTTGAGGTTTACCTCAAGACATTGGGTTGTTTGTTTGTTTTTGTGTGCAGGTTTTTGTGATTACATTCTCTGTTTGTAATCTGGAATTCACCCGTATACAGCTGTTACTCTGCCCAATTTTTGTGAAGACTTAATACACTTGAAATTTGGTTCTCTCAAGAGGTCTAGTATCTTTGCTTGCTTGGTTTCAATCCAAAGAATGAGAATTCTATCTTGGCTCATAATGTCAAGTTTTGGCTTCTTGTTGGTTAGATGGTCCTTATCCTTAGCTTTTATCCAATGTTTTAGGATAGTCTCTTCTTCTCCTCCCATTTTCTTTAATTTCAAAAATCTTCTCCCTCCTTTTGAAAACCCTTCTTGTTTTAAAACTTAAACACTTTCATAATAAACTTGGACTTAGGTCCATGCATTTTCAAAATCTTTTCCTAAATAAACTTCAATCAACTTAATAATACCTTGACATTTTTTGTGAGAAGACTAAAAGTCAACCAATCTCATTTCAAACCATTTTGCCATCTTGGCTTTTTACCTTTAAGCTTTTTCTTAAAAGATTAGGCTCTTGTCAATCCTTGTAGTGATGCAAACAACTATATTTCTACAATATGTAGGGAATATAGATATTTTCCACTTGGGTGTTGAGTGAGACATTGTTGATTTTAAAATCCAAGCCATATCCTCCACTTTGAGATGATGCAAATTCTCCTTTCTCATAATTATGGGTAGTAGATATGTTTTCCACACGGACAATGACGATGATGTTTTATCTTATAAAATTAACCAACACATTTGTGTTTCAAATTTTTAAAAGAGGAACTACATGTACCCTGATCCCCTATTGCACGAAAGGTGGTACGTAGGCACTAAAGGTTTGCAACCGCGGCGGGTGCAAAAATCATAAAAATACTTCTTTTCTCACCTCCACCATCCATTTCATATACAACACTTTTTTTATAGCAAAAATATACAAATTTTACAAAGAGGTTCATGCGGAGTACCGTGGATGTTTAGGGTGTTAATACCTTCCCTTTGCATAACCAACCCCCTTACCTTGAATCTTCTCCCCTTTTTGGGTTATTCGCTCTTTTCCTATTCCTTTGGAAACAATAAAGCGCGGTGACGATTTTTATTTTGATTTGTATGAAGACTAATCAATCAAATGACTTAGTCTTGAACATTTCTACCGCTACACCAGGAATCATTTCAAAATCTTGTCAACATGAAACTTGTTCATGTTATTTCACTATTTCCATTGGGCTAAAGATCTCACAAAATGGTTTAGAATTCCACAAGATACTAGCAATCAAAGTTGGCTATTTGTTTGTTTTGAATTGCATGAGTTTGTTGTTGTTTTGGCACATTCTCTCAATTTAGCTAACAACATGCTCCTTGATTCTCTTTTGTACACACATACCACCCCCAAATATTACTGAAAATGACCCGGCAAAGCATTATCACATGCATGCATATTTTATTGCATTCTTGCCAAAAGAATAAATACCAAAAGGCATAACAAACCTTGCTTCCACTCTCTCCCACGACCAGTCCCTTTCACACCTTCCTTCACTCTCTTTTAATTCAAAAAAATGATACACGGAGCTGACCATAACAACACAAAACATAGCCCATTACTCACTTTTTTTCATTTTTTGTTTTCACTCAAATACCCTCCAACAGAATTTTTAACCTCAAGTTAACTCTTTAACCACACCAAGAGCTCACGATATAACTCTTTACACACCTTTAACCAAGCAAGCTACAGGATTCAAAGAAGTTCAGATCTGGAAAAAAAAAGCTTGCTCTCTCACTCACAAGTAAATGTTCTCTTCAAATCTTCTCAAGAACTTCAAGCATTTTCTTCTTTCTGGTTCCTTATACTTCGTTAGGATTGCTGAAGGAGTGGAGTAGATTTTTCTTCTCCCTAATTGTGCAAGGAACTAAGGCAGTGGACCTTTCTCCACTTGGTAAGTACTTCAACTCTTCAAATCTCATGCTAGTTGCCATGTTTAGGACATGAACATTTTGCATCTGAAGACCTACAACCTGTAGGCAGTGGTCTAGAGCAGCATATATGTGTCGAATCCTTGAGTTTTTGTTGATTTTAGTTTTGTGTATCTATTTTCGTGATAGATTTTCACCATGTTGCAATGTTTATTTGTTGAATCTAATGGCACATGTGTGATCTACACGTGAAATGGAGTGGATTAGTGCTTTACTTTTCATTTTTTGATGGAGTATAGCCACCAAAAATGGTGGAGTTTCCGGATGAAAAGCCATGGAAATAGAGCTTGCTTGGGTGGTTGTTGTGTTTAAATGAAGAAGATGATGATGTGGCTACATGCGATTGGCTCATGCCATTTTTTTTGTTTTATCTTTCCACACTTTTTTATTTGCGCTTTTTTGTTATATTAATGGAGTCAGAATTTTTTTCTATTAATTTGGATATGATACGTCCTTTGCTGTTAAGTTTTTTTTTTTTTATTTTATTTTTAAAACAATTATTAAAAACGAAAAGAGAGTTAGTGAGGTTTTTGGTTTGGGGCTGGCGTGATTTTGTTTGCGCACCCCATCTTAATGGGCCTTATTGCCAATTACACTGAATTTTAGTTCTTTTTTTAGAAACCAATTTTGCACCCCTGCCTTGCGAATCGATTATTTTTGTTTCTTTTTTCATTTTAATTGTTCTCTTATCTAAAAAAATTTCACAAAAATATTTTCCTGATGCTTTTAGGTCTTATTTAACTCTTGATGAATTTTATTTTTATTTTCAATTTGCTTTACTATTTTATTTTGATTTTATGATGAGATGTTTTTGTTTGACCTATTCTTTGAATTAGGATTTTGGTTGATAATCTTTCTAAATGCCATTTGATTCAAACTCTTTCACACAATTAGGCACATGAATATAGGAAGTTTGAATGGTTATTTGATGTCTTGTTGTGTCCATTTGGTCCATGTTTGAATTACTTTTTTGATGCCTAATTTGCTTGATCAATGTGTGAGATGTTTAGTGGATGTTTGAGGTTATGCTTTGAGTAATGTTTTGCACACTCTTTAGGAACTCTAAGGCACTCGTAAGTGACTGACTTCATGATGATTTAATGCATTTCCAAATTATTTTTGAAGTCTCCTAAATGTTGTTTTGCTTGGCACAATGCATGCCCATTTGTGTAGAAGTTTGTTTTGATTGATGAGTTGTTTAGAGGTGCACTTATGCAACCATTTAGGGATTGTCCTTCACTATTTTACTTGTATGAGATGCCATGAGGTAGAGTCCATATCCTCTATTTTATAATCCTTTCTATGTGTTTAATTGTTGATACAATTAAGTGAATTTCCTAAGGTTGGTTTGCTTATCTTGTTGCCTTTCCTTGAGCCTATCTTGTGTGATTAACTTTTGATGCTAGAGAGTCTTATGTGATAAATTTAATATAACATTTCTTCTGACTTGATTATATTTGACACCTCTTATTCTTGTTTTATCTTCTCCTTCGTTTAACATGATATTGTTGGTGTAAGCCCTAGAGGCCAATATTTTTGGTACTGGTATCAAATTATGTATTAATAATAAAATGCATTTCTTTATTATGTTTGCTTTTCCAAAATAATAAAGTCCCTAGAATAGTTCGTCTATTTAATGAAATGTTAAGTGTGACTTAATCATGAGATCCCATTAAACATAATGACAATATTCTTAAAGTATATGTAGTTGAGCTTTATTGTAAAGTGGGATAACATTAAAGCATTAAGATTATTATGTAGATAGATTGATGATCACATCTCATAGATCATGGATAAAGAGTTATCAAGTCTTGACATAAGCATAAATATTATGAGTAATATTTATACTGGATTGACCCGCTATGAGAATACTAGATAAAATATTATGCAAGGTGTCATAAGTTATTCTCATAGTGATAAGTGGTATATACCACCCTTCGACCTGAAACTGCTATGGACCCTAGATATAGAGTCAAGTGCTTTATTGCTAATCAAACATTGTCCATAACTGGATGACCATAAAGACATTTGATGGGTACTTCACAAAGCGTGATGAGGGACACGAGTGACCTAGATGGAATTTTCCCATCATGCATAACAGGATAAATGTCTAAGGGCCCAATATTGAACTAGACAAGGGTGACACAGTTTATGCCTTATGTTCAATATATATATATATATATATATATATATATATATATATATATATATATATATATATATATATATATATATATATATATATATATATATATATATATATATATATATATATATATATATATATATATATATATATATATATATATATATATATATATATATATATATATATATATATATATATATATATAAGGGCAAAGGGTAATTGTACCACAAGTATTATCAAGGAAAGATTTTGTTAGATCACATGACATTTTTGTGACTTGGGTTTAAGAACAAAAAGTGTTTCTACATCTGGCCTTAAGATTTTGATGATAACTTTACATGTTATCTTTATGAAAAATTGTATACACTAATGGTTTGTTCTAGTGTGTAGTTGTTGTTGTAATGTTCTGACTCAGGTATCAAGGCGTGTGACGTAATTAGGTTCTAAACATACACTACTGGATGAAAACATGTGGTTACATGTTACATTTGAAGTCAAGATTTTGAATATATCTTCTGGAACGTATCTTAGGAACGTTAGTACAAGAGGTTCTGATCGTGACTTTATGGTTAAGCTTTGGAGGCCTTCTAAATCTTTACTTTGTATGTTATAAGTTCTAAAGATTATGAAGACGATGTTCTGCTGAACAAGTTTTGATGATCTGAAGACAAGTAAGTTCTTACAACCAAGTGCTAAAGACTCTGAAAACAAAGTTTTGTGTGAAAAGTTCTGAAAACTCCAAGACTTGGGTTCTAAGACTTAAAAGTGATTCTTCTATAACAAGCTTCAGTGTTTAACATTCAAATATCTGAAGCCTCTGGTGATAAGAAGAAAGTTCAAATGGTTAATGTGTGATGGTGTACAAAAGATACATAAAGTGTATGTGAACTCTACTCTCTAGGGTGGCATAAGGGCATGTCTTTCCTGTACTATACAGTGACCACTCTCATTATGACCATTGAGAATAAACAGTTGGATTTCTGATTACCTTTCTACCCTTTCAACAGATCTCTTTTACAAGTTATAAAAGGAAGACTTGGAAGCTGAAGAAAAGTAAGAATCAACATTACACAAAATATATTAGATTAAATCAAGCTCAAGCAAAACTACACAAAGCACTATGAAAACTCTTTAGAGAAAATCTTATGTGTATAGTTTTGTAAATAAGCAAGGAGTTGTTGCTCGTAACTTACTGTAAAACACTTAGGTGTTTTCTTTGTACTGAAACGTTTGTGTAATCTGCTTACAAGAAGTAATCTGTAACACATTGAAAGAACTCAACGGTTGTTCATTGATACCTTATGATACTGAGTGAAGGTATGATCTCAATAAGACTTTTGTTGCGGCTTGAGTAGATTTTCCATAAGGACCGACAGACTTATTAGGGGTGCCAATAAGGTTGATCTAACTTATTGTAGGTTATCTGTAATCATTTTGGTTATAGTGGATTAAGTCCTTGTTGAAGGCGAAATCACCTTGAGGGATGGACTGAAGTAGCTTCATTAATAGTGAACCATGATAAAAAAAATAATTGTGTTCATTTATTTTTATGTTGAAGGTTAAGTTGGTCTTTCATCATCGAATAAGAATTCAAAATTATTTTTGGTGAAACCTAATTCAAACCCTTATTTCTTGTGTTTCTCACACCTTAAATTGGCATCAGAGCTCCGGTTCTGGAATTGATTGTATCAAACACTTAACCGTGTAAGATAAAGATTCAGGGGAGTTTTTCTTTGAAGAAACATAATGGTTGAACCCACGCCAACTAAAGCTCCTTCAGATTCAAACGATAAAAGTTACAATGTAAAACCTCTTATCTTTGATGGTGAAAAGTTTGAATACTAGAAAGATAGATTAGAAAGTTTCTTTCTAGGTCATGATGTTGATCTTTGGGATATGGTAGTCGATACTACGTACCTCCCACAAATGACACTTGAAAAGAGACATCTAGGAAAGTTATAATTGATCAATAAAAGAAAGACTGTAAGAATCATTATAAAGCAAGAACCATCTTGTTGAATGTGATTTCTTATACTGAGTATGTGAAAATCATAAATAGAGACTCTGCTAAGTATATATTTGATTCTCTCAAAATGACTCATGAAGGAAATGATCAAGTTAAAGAAACTAAGGAGTTGTCTTTGATTCATAAATATGAAGCTTTCAAAATGGAGGATGACGAAAGCATTAAAGTCATGTTCTCAAGATTTCAAACCTTGGTTGCAGGACTGAGAGTTTTGAATAAAGGTTATTCAACTGTAGATCGTGTGAAGAAGATTATCAAAAGCTTGCCATCTAAATGGAGGCCTATGGTAACTGCACTCAAGCTTGCAAAGGATCTGAATAACACTTCTCTAGAAGAACTAATAAGTTCTTTAAGAAGTCATGACATTGAGCTAGAACAAGATGAACCGCAGAAGAAGATAAAAGCTATTATGCTCAAGGCCATCAAGAAATTTGAGAAGTCCAACGCTCTTCAAGAAAAAGAGATAGAGGATTCAGAAGAAGATCTTGATGATGGAGAAGATGAGTTGTCTCTACTGACCATAAGGCTTAACTGTCTCTGGAAGAAAAGTCAAGGCAACAGGTCTAGAAGTTGTATAAAACAGGATGAGATCAGTAAAAAAACCATAAAAGAATTTTTTACTATATTTAATCAATTGGAGAAAAATGCTAACGGATTAGATTGGCGCAAACTTGAGGTGCAAGGCAAGTTGAATTCACTCAGATTCTATGCAACATCTATATATCTTATTCTTCCATATTAGGAACTTATATACGGTTGATTTTAAAAATTAACCGATTAGAAAAAGCCTCAATCGATTAGATAACAACTTTTTTGCTTAAATGCCATGTTTTTTTTGGGGAACCTCAAACCTATAAATTGAGGCCACCTTTGTCATTTCAAATCATCCAGAACACAAATTTATGTATTGACACTCACTCTTTTTCTCTCTTCTAGTTTTATTTTAATTTTTTCTCACTAATTCTTATAGCCAAATGCTTTTGTGATGAAAATACCATTTGTGAGTGAGGTCACCATTGTAAATCTAGAAGGGTAGAATTGTATAAATTCACCAAAGTAACTATGTTTATAAACCTTGTTTGAATATTATCCAAATAGGGATTATATATGAGGTTCTAAGCTAAACCCGTTAAAAGCTTATTGTTTGGGATTGAGTATATATATATATATATATATATATATATATATATATATATATATATATATATATATATATATATATATATATATATATATATATATATATATATATATATATATATATATATATATATATATATATATATATATATATATATATATATATATATATATATATGTTGAAGATTATCTAGTTTTGATAATCATCTCTTAGTTCTTGATTGGTTGAAGATTAGTCGATATTAAAAATCTTCCTTGGTTTGAGATCAGCCCGGTTAAAATTT